TCACGTACCTCCCCCACACTTACATTCTGCTCTTCTTCACTCCTAAAAGATGGTATACCTCCCTGACCAGTGCATGAAATTACTGCCTCTGTTTCTTCCTTAACATTTAAAAGTTCCTCAAAATATTCTCGCCATCTACCTAATTCCTCCATCTCCCCATCTACTAACTCCCCTACTCTGTTTTAACTGACAAATCCATACTTTCCTAGGTTTTCTTAACTTGTTTAACTCACTCCAAATTTTTTCTTATTTTCATTAAAATTTCTTGACAGTGCCTCTCCCACTCTATCATCTGCTCTCCTTTTGCACTCTCTCACCACTCTCTTTACCTTTCTTTTACTCTCCATATACTCTGCTCTTTTATAACACTTCTGCTTTGTAAAAACCTCTCGTAAGCTACCTTTTCTCTTTTATCACGCCCTTTACTTCATCATTCCACCAATCACTCTCTTTTCCTCCTGCCCCCACCTCCTATAACCAACAAACTTCTGCCCCACATTCTAATACTGCATTTTTAAAACTATTCCAACCTCTTCAACCCCCCCCCCCACTACTCATCTTTGCACTAGCCCACCTTTTGCCAATAGTCGCTTATATCTCACCCAAACTTCCTCCTCCCTTTTTTAACACTTTCACCTCCTTCTTACTTGTTGTTGCCACCTTCCTCTTTTTCCCATCTACCTCTTACTCTAACTGTAGCTACAACTAAATGATCCAATATATCAGTTGCCCCTCTATAAACATGTACATCCTGGAGCCTACCCATCAACCTTTTATCCACCAATACATAATCTAATAAACTACTTTCATTATGTGCTACATCATACCTTGTATATTTATTTATCCTCTTTTTCATAAAATATGTATTACTTATTACCAAATCTTTTTCTACACATAGCTGAATTAAAGGCTCCCAATTTACATTTACCCCTGGCACCCCAAATTTACCTACTACTCCCTCCATAACATTTTTACCCACTTTAGCATTGAAATCCCCAACCACCATTACTCTCACACTTGATTCAAAACTCCCCACGCATTCACTCAACATTTCCCAGAATCTCTCTCTCTCCTCTACACTTCTCTCTTCTCCAGGTGCATACACGCTTATTATAACCCACTTTTCACATCCAATCTTTATTTTACTCCACATAATCCTTGAATTAATACATTTATAGTCCCTCTTTTCCTGCCATAGCTTATCCTTCAACATTATTGCTACTCCTTCTTTAGCCCTAACTCTATTTGAAACCCCTGACCTAATCCCCTTTATTCCTCTCCACTGAAACTCTCCCACCCCCTTCAGCTTTGTTTCACTTTAAGCCAGGACATCCAGCTTCTCGTTCATAACATCCACAATCATCTGCACAACATCCACGCACATTCAGACTTCCCACTTTGACAATTTTCTTCTTCTTATTCTTTTTAGTAATCTTTACAGGAAAAGGGGTTACTAGCCCACTGTTCCCGGCATTTTAGTTGACTTTTACAACACGCATGGCTTACGGAGGAAAGATTCTTATTTCACTTCCCCATGGATATAAAAGGAAAAGTAATAAGACCAAGAACTATTAAGATAAAATCAAAGAAAACTCAGATGAGTGTGTATAAATAAATATGTACATGTATGTGTAGTGTGACCTAAGTGTAAGTAGAAGTAGCAAGACATACCTGTAATCTTGCATATTTATGAGACAGACAAAAGACATCAGCAATCCTACCATCATGTAAAACAATCACAGGCTTTCGTTTTACACTCACTTGGCAGGACGGTAGTACCTCCCTGGGTGGTTGCTGTCTACCAACCTATTACTTATAACATACATATACAAGCATATATATACACACCCCTCTGGGTTTTCTTCTATTTTTTTCTAGTTCTTGTTCTTGTTTATTTCCTCTTATCTCCTGGAGTTTACCTGGGGTAAACTCCAGGGGTCAACACCCTCGTGGCCCGGTCTGTGACCAGGCTTCATGGTGGATTAGAGCCTGATCAACCAGACTGTTACTGCTGGCTGCACGCAATCCAACGTACGAGCCACAGCCCGGCTGGTCAGGTACCGACTTTAGGTGCTTGTCCAGTGCCTGCTTGAAGACAGCCAGGGGTCTATTGGTAATCCCCATTATGTATGCTGGGAGGCAGTTGAACAGTCTTGGGCCCCTGACACTTACTGTGTTGTCTCTTAACGTGCTAGTGACACCCCTGCTTTTCACTGGGGGCACGTTGCATTGTCTGCCAAGTCTTTTGCTTTCGAAGTGAGTGATTTTCGTGTGTAAGTTCGGTACTAGTCCCTCTAGGATTTTCCAGGTGTATATAATCACGTATATCTCCTGCCTGCATTCCAGGGAGTACAGGTTCAGGAACTTCAAGCGCTCCCAGTATTTGAGGTGTTTTATCTCCATTATGCGCGCCATGTAGGTTCTCTGTGCATCTTCTAGGTTAGCAATCTCACCTGCCTTGAAAGGTGCTGTTAGTGTGCAGCAATATTCCAGCCTAGATAGAACAAGCGACCTGAAGAATGTCATCACGGTCTTGGCATCTCTAGTTTTGAAGGTTTTCATTATCCATCCTGTCATTTTTCTAGCAAATGCGATTGATACAATGTTATGGTCCTTGAAGGTGAGATCTTCCGACATGATCACTCCCAGGTCTTTGACATTGGTTTTTCGCTCTATTTTGTGGCTGGAATTTGTTTTGTACTCTGACGAAGTTTAAATTTCCTCATGTTTACCATATCGGAGTAATTGAAATTTCTCATCATTGAACTTCATACTGTTTTCTGCAGCCCACTGAAAGATTTGGTTGATGTCGGCCTGGAGCCTTGCAGTGTCTGCAATGGAAGACACTGTCATGCAGATTCGGGTGTCATCTGCAAAGGAAGACAAGGTGCTGTGGCTGACATCCTTGTCTATGTCAGATATGAGGATGAGAAACAAGATGGGAGTGAGTACTGTGCCTCGCGGAACAGAATTCTTCTTCCATAAGCCATGCGTGTTGTAAGAGGTGACTAAAATGCCGGGAGCAAGAGGCTAGTAACCCCTTCTCCTGTATAAATTACTAAATTTAAAAAGAGAGACGTTTGTTTTTCTTTTTGGGCCACCCTGCCTTGGTGGGATACAGATGATTTGTTGGGAAAAAAAAAAAAAAAAAAGCTATATAATGTGCAAGGAAGAGGTACAAGTAAGTGTATCCTGGGAACCATTGTACCCACTGCATAATAGAAAACCATTATCCATCCTCAAAATTAAGTACTTTAACCTACTGTGTATGATAAACACTGAATGCCTCCTGCTGGTTTTAAAATTTACTTAAGTTAGAAGAATTTTTCTCAGTGCTATACAATATATGCTCTGAGAAATGGAGACTTTAAAGTAAAACGTGTTTTATAAACTTATGCTCAGATAAATTATTTATCCATACATAAAAAAAATGGCTACAATGTATGTTTTTTAAAAAGAGCAAGCATTCCAAAAGAACAGTAGAATAATTTTTTTTCCATACAGGACTACATAGACAGTTCAGTTTTCCCATATTAATCACAGAATCAAGTCTCCCTACCTTCAATACATGGTGAAAGGTCTCTTATCACAATCAATTCCAGCTACATGATCAATATTCAATAGGTAAAGCTTTATGACTAGCCTTTTTCAGTGAACTCATCACTTGTAGAAAGTTGTACAAGGTGTAATAATTAAATTCCAAATTTACCTTATTGTTTAAATACTAAAGGTTTTAAATGTGAAACACCACCTGAATGCATAACTCATGTCTTGGAATGTAGCCCTTTACAAGATAATATCATCTCTTTCCAGTGTTGCTGAGGTGGTTTGGTCATTTAGAGAGGATGGAGCAAAACAAAATTACTTAAAGGATGTTTAAATCTGCAGTGGAGGGGAGGAAGGGTAGGGGTTGTCCTAGGAAAGGATGGAGGGAGTGGGGTAAAAGAGGCTTCATGTGCAAAGGGCTTGGACATGCAGCAGGCATGTGTAAGCGTGTTAGATAAGAGTCAATGGAGACAAATGATTTTGGGGACACGATAAGCTGTCGAGTGTGAGGAGAATATTTTGTGAAAGGATTCAGGGAAACCAGTTAGCCAGACTGGAGTCCTGGAGGTGGGAAGTACAATGCCTGCACTTTGAAAGAGGGGTCTGGGATATTGACTGTTAGGAGTGACATCCAAACTGTCATATCTGAGTGCTTCTGCAAAAACAGTGATTATGTGTGAATGATGGTGAAAGTGTTTTTTGGGTCACCCTGCCTCAGTGGGAGACAGCCAACGAGTTGAGGAAAAAAAAACTCGTTGGGAAGTAATCAGCCCATAAGAATCGTACACCTCGGAAATGAGAGGCAATCATGCTTGATCTGAGGACGATGAGTAGAGCCCCAATTCCCTGGCTCAAGTACCCTTCACCAGCATCAATCACCCCTCTTAAATTACCTAGATGGCAGAGTGTATCTATTATTGCAGCGTGTGGCACTTATCAACGCCTGGCACACCACAAGCTACTACTGTCTTAGTTCACACACATTTTACAATGCTTTACTAAATTATATGTGGGAACTTTTGAGACAAATTCTTAGTTTAATAGGCCTTCAATGTAAAATGTGCCATACATCACAAGAATGGCTATATACTTGACTATTATGGATCACTGAAAATGGATGATAATATTCTTTGAGAGAATGAGTATCAAGACAGCTGCAGGCATTCAGATTAAAGACTCACTTTGGCAACCCATAGTGTTCACAGAATATCAATATTGTATATTTAGCCTCTTAACAATTTTTATCACAACTTGAATATTGATTGCAATAACCCTAAATGTATTAGTACATCTATGTTTAGAAAGAGCATGAAATGAGCAGTCACAGAAAGTCTTTGATCTATTTTGTGCATAATTTTTCCTGCTAGTGATCACTGGATAAAAAACAGAAATAAAACCAAAACAATGTACAGCAAAAGGGCCATGCAAAATTGCAAAAAATAACGTGTACTCACGCTCATTGTCCGACCCATCCTCACTCTTGTCGTCTTTACTTTTATTCAGAAATGGGAATTTTCGACTGAATGATAGCGTCTTCTTCTTCCTTTCTAGCGTTGATTGCTGAAATAAGACTTTATGAAGCATACACTAATATACTGCTCAGTAGTTACTTTTGTAGCATTCTATCACTAACATTTAATTTTTTACACTTAGCATATCCAGTATAAAAATTCTATTAAGTAAATAGCAAGGAACAAACTAATTAAGTACTAACCCTGGCGTCATTGTTATTCTTTCCCTGGAAGGCCACTGACCTAAGTCGAGCTTTTTGTTTCTTTTCCCAACGGGCTTTAGAAGGAATAATTCCTGTGGTACCTGTGAAAAGCATGGGTTTTAACAGTACATGAAAATAAATTGTCTTACAAGAAAGTGATACATCAAAGCACTAATACAAGCATAATATACATTTCTGAGGGTCACTATTGAGTTAATATATACTATCTCAAATACAAATGAAGCGTGTTGTGTACGAATGGTATATAATACCGACAAGATGAGATTAAGACACATGTGCAACATCTGGGTATCTTTATTGTAGATGTTTCGCCATCCAGTGGCTTTATCAATACAAATTCTAGGACATAACTTGAAGACAGTAGAACTATGTACAGAAGATGAGGTAATCAGTCCCTCAACCTAGGAGTAGGTGCGAAGAGCACCATAGTCGTGGAGATTCTGAAGCAGAAGAAAGGAGCCTGGCGCTTATATAGTAACGTCAGGTGTAGCAGACGAGGGCATATTCACTGGTAGGCGGGATTCCCCAGTGGAAGTAGGTCCTTCCCAAAGAGATGGGTTAGTTGTAGTAGTCGTGAAGGTTATGTACATGTCCTCAGAATTAAGATTCCATGATGTTGCAGTGTCTGACAAGTTGTGTACGAATGGTATATAATACCAGAATCTCCATGACTAGGTTGAGGGACTGATTACCTCATCTTCTGTACATAGTTCTACTGTCTTCAAGTTATGTCCTAGAATTTGTATTGATAAACCCACTGGATGGCGAAACGTCTACAATAAAGATACCCAGATGTTGCACATGTGTCTTAATCTCACAAATGAAGCATATTAATTTCCAGGTGTCCATGGTCTAAATCAAGCTAAGAAGTTTAGGGAAATGCTAGACATGTAGGGATCATACACTCCCTGGGGCATGGGAGACAACTGGGTTTTCTCTGAGGAAGGTGAGATTAGTTCCAATTCCTTAGATCAAAAGCCTTTTACAGGCATCAAGGTAATATCCCATAAAGGGATTGAATGCATGCAAACATAACTCTGATTACATCAACTCCAACCATCTCAATTTTAAACTTTGAATGAAGAACATGCGAAGAATATTTGAACAAAAACTATTGGACTACCTCTTGTTTTCTAAAACATTTACAGCAGTAAAGGCTCAAAAGAAAAAATGGAGGCTTCAGGGAAGTTTTAGAGGTTTGAGCAAACAGTAGGCTTTCGAGAGGCTGTCAGATATGAGTGAATGGAGACATAGTGGTTTTTAGTGGATATGGTCTTAGAGAGTGAGCAATACAACATTTTTGAAGGGATTCTGGGAAACTGGTTAACTGTATATACATACGTACACCCACTGGTATACATTTTATGAAAAAAAACAAAAAAATTATCAAGTCTCCATGACAATTAGCTGCAAAAGGCCACTGCTTCAAAAAGTAGACAAGGGTTTGGCAGGAAAATAACAGACAAAACAGTAGAGAACACTTAATATCCTCTATGACAATCATGGACAGAGGGTGATTTAGAGAAAATGGTGTTGATACTGGTGTCTTAAGAAAGAGAGCTGAACCTTAAAAACTAGCCTAATGTGAGGTTATATTAATCTCGTAACCACATGCTTTTATACAATGAACACGACGAAATATCCACATAACCAAGTAGCAACCTCGGTTAATTCTATCAATTATCAGACTTTTTTTTTTTTTTTTTTTTTTTTTAACAAGTCGGACATCTCCCACCGAGGCAGGGTGACCCAAAAAGAAAGAAAATCCCCAAAAAGAAAATAATTTCATCATCATTCAACACTTTCACCTCACACATAATCACTGTTTTTGCAGAGGTGCCCAGAGCACAACAGTTTAGAAGCATATACGTATAAAGATACGCAACATCCCCTCCAAACTGCAAATATCCCAAGCCCCTCCTTTAAAGTGCAGGCATGGTACTTTCCATTTCCATGACTCAAGTCCGGCTATATAAAAATAACCAGTTTCCCTGAATCCCTTCACTAATATTACCCTGCTCACACTCCAACAGCTCGTCAGGTCCCAAATATCATTCGTCTCCATTCACTCCTATCTAACACGCTCACGCATGCTTGCTGGAAGTCCAAGCTCCTCACCCACAAAACCTCCTTTACCCCCTCCCTCCAACCTTTTCAAGGACGACCCCTACCCCGCCTTCCTTCCCCTACAGGTTTATACGTTCCCCATGTCATTCTACTTTGATGCATTCTCTCTAAATGACCAAACCACCTCAACAACCCCTCTTTAGCCCTCTGACTAATATTTTTATTAACTCCACACCTTCTCCTAATTTCCACACTCTGAATTCTCTGCATAACACCACACATTGCCCTTAGACAGGACATCTCCACCGCACCCAACCACCTCCTCGCTGCAGCATTTACAACCCAAGCTTCACACCCACATACGAGTGTTCGTACCACTATACGTACTTTCATACATTCCCTTCTTTGCCTCCATAGATGATGTTTTTTGTCTCCACATATACCTCAATGCACCACTCAACTTTTTCCCCTCATCAATTCTATGGTTAACCTCATCCTTCATAAATCCATCCCCTGACATGTCAACTCCCAAATACTGTATCTGAAAACATTCACTTCTTCCATACTACTCCTCTCCAATTTGACATCCAGTTTTTCCTTATCTAAATCATTTGATACCCTCATCACCTTATTCTTTTCTATGTTCACTTTCAACTTTCTACCTTTACACAGTCTCCCAAACTCATCCACTAACCTTTCCAACTTTTCTTTAGAATCTCCCATATGCACAGCATCATCAGCAAAAAGTAACTGTCAATTCCCATTTGGTATTTGATTCCTCATAATTTAATCCCACCCCTCTCCCCAACACCCTAGCATTTACTTCTTTTGCAATTCCATCTATAAATTATTAAAAAAACCATGGTGACTTACCCCATCCCTGTCAAAAACCCTCCCTTTCCCGGGGAAAGTGTCTCCCCTTTTACACACCCAAACCCCTGACCCTAAACTATCCTAAAAAAACTGCTAACAGCTTTTGTAACTTACCCCTTTTTCCTTATATGTACTTGCAACATTCCCCACTTTTGCTCCCTATCCACTCTCCCCATATGCCTTTTAAAATTTATTAATGCAAAAAAAAACTTCCCTACCTTTTATAAAAACTGTTCACATTATGCTTCAATGAAAAACACCTAAATCTACACACCCCCTCCCCACTCAAAAACCCCTCTTTCCCTCATTCGCAACCCTAATTCCTTTCCCCCCTACCTCTAATTCTTTCCATAAAAACCCTTTACTGTACATTTTTTTCCGGGTATACTCAAAAAACTTTTCCTCTATAATTTTTAAAATCTTTTTTGTTGCCTTCCCTTTATAAAGGGGGGACTTTTACTGTTCTCCGCCAAATCCCTAGGCCCTTCCCCCTTTTTCATACATTTTTTTTTTTTTTCAACAAGTGGGCCCCGTCTCCCCCCGGGGCCCAGGGTGCCCCAAAAAAAAAAATGAAAATCCCCAAAAAAAAAAGCTTTAAATCATTCAAAATTTCACCACACTACATATTATCACTGTTTTTGCAGGGGTGTTCAAAATATAAACAATTTAAAAGGGCCATAAAATTTATGAAGATAAAAAAAACATATCCCCCCAAATCCCAAAATATCCCAAACCCCCCTTAAAGGGTGCGGGGATTGCATTTTCCCTTTTCCCCGGACTCAAGCCCCGATATATGAAAAAAAAATTTTTTTCTCTAAATTTTATTATTTTTATCACACTGGCCGTTTCCCCCCCCCCCCAAAAGGAAGGGGGGCCCGAAAAAGAAAAATTTTCAAAATCTTTCCCACTCCTCACTGTCTTGCCAGAAAGGGTGCTTCTACGTTTTTTAAAATGCAACATTTAAAAACCCCCCTTTAACCTTTCACTAAATATTACCTTTCTTACACTCCCAAAGATCGTCAGGTCCCGGGACCATTGTCTCCTTTTACTCCTGACCGCTATGCACGCTTTTCTGGAAAAATCCAAATCCCTGCCCCAAAAACCCCCCCTTTCCCCCCCTTTTTTCCAACCCTTTCGAGGACGACCCCCACCCCGCTTCCTTCCCTATAGATTTATATGCTTTTTAGTCATCTACTTTGATTTCCCTTCTCTTAAATGAACCAAAACCCCCTCAACAAGCCCTTTCTGCCCTCTAATTCTTTTTTTAACTCCACACCTTTTTTTTTAAATTTTCCCCACTCTGAAAATTTTTTGAATTTAAAATTTTTCACCCCACATTGGCCCCTTGACAGGACATCTCCACTGCCCAACCGTTTTTCTCGCTGCTGCATTTCCACCCCAAACCTTTTACCATACCCCCGAGTGTTGGTTTCTACTATAATTTCATACATTCCTTTTTTTTGCCCCCATAGATAAAAGTTTTTTGACTTCCCCAAAAATACCTCAACGCCCATCAAAAATTTTTTTTTTCATCAATTTTTATGATTAAACCCCATCCTTCATTTAAAACCCTCTGCCGACACGTCAATTCCCAAGTATCTGGAAAAAATTCACTTCTTCCATACTCCTCCTCCCCAATCTGATATCCAATTTTTCTTTATCTAAATCATTTGACACCCTCATCACCTTACTCTTTTCTATATTCACTTTCAACTTTCTACCTTTACACACATTACCAAACTCATCCACTAACCTTTGCAATTTTTCTTTAGAATCTCCCATAAGCACAGTATCATCAGCAAAATGTAACTGTGTCAATTCCCATTTTGAATTTGATTCCCCATAATTTAATCCCACCCCTCTCCCGAACACCCTAGCATTTACTTGCTTTACAACCCCATCTATAAATATATTAAATAACCATGGTGACATTACACATCCCTGTCTAAGACCTACCTTTACCGGGAAGTAGTCTCCCTCTCTTCTGCACACCCTAACCTGCGCCTCACTATCCTCATAAAAACTCTTTACAGCATTTAGTAACTTACCACCTATTCCATATACTTGAAATATCTGCCACATTGCTCCTCTATCCACTATCATATGCCTTTTCTAAATCCATAAATGCAATAAAAACTTCTCTACCTTTATCTAAATACTGTTCACATATATGCTTCAATGTAAACACTTGATCTACACATCCCCTACCCACTCTGAAACCTCCTTGCTCATCCGCAATCCTACATTCTGTCTTACCTCTAATTCTTTCAATTATAACCCTACCGTACACTTTTCCTGGTATACTCAGTAAACTTATTCCTCTATAATTTTTACAATCTCTTTTGTCCCCTTTCCCTTTATATAAAGGGACTATACATGTTCTCCGCCAATCCCTAGGTACCTTCCCCTCTTTCATACATTTATTTAACAAAAATACCAACCACTCCAACACTATATCCCCCCTGCTTTTAACATTTCTGTCATGATCCCATCAGTTCCAGCTGCTTTACCCCCTTTCATTCTACGTAATGCCTCACGTACCTCCCCCACACTCACATCCTGCTTTTCTTCACTCCTAAAAGATGGTATACCTCCCTGGCCAGTGCATGAAATTACCGCCTCCCTTTCTTCATCGACATTTAAGAGTTCCTCAAAATATTCTCGCCATCTACTCAATACCTCCATCTCCCCATCTACTAACTCTCCTACTCTGTTTTTAACTGACAAATCCATTCATTCCCTAGGCTTTCTTAACTTGTTAAACTCACTTCAAATTTTTTTCTTATTTTCATTAAAATTTCTTGACAGTGCCTCTCCCACTATCATCTGCATCCTTTTGCACTCTCTTCACCTTTCTTTTACTCTCCATATACTCTACTCTTCTTATAATCCTTTTCTTTGTAAAAACCTCTCATAAGTTACCTTTTTCTCTTTTATCACACCCTTTATTTCATCATTCCACCAATCACTCCTCTTTCCTCCTGTACCCAACCTCCTATAACCACAAACATCTGCCCCCACATTCTAATACTGCATTTTTAAAACTATTCCAACCCTCTTCAAACCCCCCCCCCCCCAACTACTCACCACTACTCATACTTGCACCAGCCCACCTTTCTGCCAATAGTTGCTTATATGTCACCCGAACCTTCTCCTCCCTTAGTTTTATACACTTTCACCTCCCTCTTACTTGTTGTTACCATTTTCCTCTTATCCCATCTACCTCTTACCCTAACTGTAGCTACAACTAAATGATGATCCGATATATCAGTTGCCCCTCTATAAATGTGTACATCCTGGAGCCTACCCATCAACCTTTTATCCACCAATACATAATCTAACAAACTACTTTCATTACATGCTATATCATACCTTGTATATTTATTTATACTCTTTTTCATAAAATATGTATTACTTATTACCAAACCTCTTTCTACACAAAGCTCAATTAAAGGTTCCCCATTTTCACACCCCTGGCACCCCAAATTTATGTATAATTCCCTCCACAACATTTTTACCCACTTTAGCATTGAAATCCCCAACTACCATTAATCTCACACTTGGTTCAAAACTCCCTATGCATTCACTCAACATTTCCCAAAATATCTCTCTCTCCTCTACACTTCTCTCTTCTCCAGGTGCATATACGCTTACTATAACCCACTTTTCGTATCCAACCTTTATTTTACTCCACATAATCCTTGAATTAATACATTTATAGTCCCTCTTTTCCTGCCATAGCTTATCCTTCAACATTATTGCTACTCCTCCTTTAGCTAACTTCTTTAGCTCTAACTTAAAGCCAGGACATCTAGCTTCTTCTCATTCATAACATCTACAATCATCTCTATCACTTGCACAACATCCACACACATTCAGACATCCCACTTTAACAATTTTCTTCTTCTTATTTTTAGTAATCTGTACAGGAAAAGAGGTTACTAGCCCATTGTTCCTGGCAATTTAGTTGACTTCTACAACACGCATGGCTTACGGAGGAAAGATTCTTATTCCACTTCCCCATGGATATATAAGGAGAAGTAATAAGAACAAGAACTATTAAGATAAAATCAAAGAAAACTCAGATTAGTGTGTATATATAAACATGCACATACATGTGTAGTGTGACCTAAGTGTAAGTAAAAGTAGCAAGACATACCTGTAATCTTGCATATTTATGAGACAGACAAAAGACACCAGCAATCCTACCATCATGTAAAATAATTACATGCTCTCGTTTTACACTCACTTGGCAGGACGGTAGTACCTCCCTGAGTGGTTGTTGTCTACCAACCTACTACCTATATACAGTAGAAATAAAACAGTAATGTATTGAATATAAAATGGAAATAAAACTCTACACAAGCTTAAGAAAGCTTAACCTAAGATTTTATCTGAGCTCACCTTCTTCTTCACCTGTTGGCAAAACACGTCTGGCTTGCCACCACTGATCATCAGAAGCATTAGTGACATGAAGAATTTCTCCATAGTTAAAGGCAAGACCACGAGAAGGCAAACCGTCATCACGGTTGGGGTCATAATCAAACAAAGCTCTGAAGGAAGTTTATATGATTAGCTTTTGGAATCTCAATAATGCACCAACAAATAAACTTAAATTCACTCATTGAAATATACCAACTTTGTTTTCACATTTCAACTAAGGACAAACTCAAATAAAGTTTACCTGACATAGAGACTGCGTTTTTGTGTGGTTCTTAGAGTGCCAGACATCATCTGTTGTTTAAGGTCATGGATCTTGGCTTCAAAGCGATTGTACTCATCAGGTTTATATTGCACTGTCAGATTTACTGTCTGTCCACATCCCTGTTATATAAACATATACAATAAATATGAAGTAATTACAATTATATTTTTGATTTTTAACAAAGCATTCAATGAAATTAACATTTCTACCCATTTACTGTGGGCACTGTACTTCCAATCTCCAAAACTACCGTTCAATTAACTGATTCTACCTAAATCCTCTCATAGATATCACTACACTAGCATAAAAATACTCCAACAGAATGTCAAATGTCACCGTTTACTCGCATCCACTCCAATATAACATGCAAACATGTACCTGGATTCCAGGGTTATAGGATGAACAGAAAATTATAAACAAACTGCCCTCTCTACTATACTACATGCCACCTATTTCATCTACTGAAACTACTTTCTGCCTAGATTTCTTAACACTCCTGTACCTTTCTTTCCCCTAATCTATTCTGTGATTTATGCCATCCTTCACAGACCTATCTGCTAATACATGCACCCTCAAGTATCTAATAGCATGCATTCTATACATTTCTTTCTTCCAGCCTGACCTCAAATCATTCATTCCTAATCTCAAAATCTTGCTCTCTTCTAGTCACTAACTTACTTTTATGCAGGCATTCAAATTCCTCCTCCAACTTCTGCAGTTTCTCTTGATTCTCCCACTAAAACTGTCATATCAGCAAAGAGCAACTGTGAAGGCAACTGAACTTGACAAAATTTGCTCGGTTTGATAAACAAGTTGATAAACAAGGACACATGAGAGGGTAGCCTTCCATGTTAGCAATGTTTACATATTGTTTCTCCCTCCCTCAGCTCCTCCATGTGCCTGCCCTTCCTCCCTCCCTACTGTCTTCCTCTCTCAGCTCCTCTTGCCCTTCCTCCCCCCCATTCCTCTCACTCTTCCTCCCTCCCTCTCTACCCTTGTTTCTATAACTGAAAACATGGAAAGTGATATTGTATTTTAATTTTTACTTACATAAAATTATTAACATGAATTAAATAGTTTATATTTACAAAAGCATTCTGGTAGTCAATCTCATGGAAGTGGCATTTATTTTTTTTTCACAGGAAATGCTAAACTTTTAGGGGTCACACAGCACCTAGAAAATGGGAGATATTAAGGCTCAATCCAAGGAAGGGGAGACTACTCAGAGCATCAAAGGGCCATAGTAACCCCTAAACTCAACACCACTGTTATTGTTGAGTTTAAAGTTTGTTATTTGATCTTATTTTGATAATTTTATCATTTTGGGGATAATATTCAGGGCATATTTCTTTGGTAAGAAAAAAAAATCTTTAACCAGTAATTTACAGCAACCTTTTTCACTAGAGTATCTGAGACAATGTACCAAGATTATGCAATACTGTCTATATGAACTTCATTAGCACTTTTGAGTTACATTTAGGAGGATGATCGAAAAAGCAGTAGAACATGGCATAGGAGAAATTATCTCATGGGTTATAGCATGGTTGACTGATGGTAGCAGAAGGAGGAGATAATAACTAGAACAGAGTATACTACTGACTCCGGCCATACAATAGAGCAGAAAAATAATGTAAGGGACCTGGGAGTAGTAATGTCTGAGGATCTCACTTTCAAGGATCACAACAGTGCCACGATCGCACGTGCAAAGAAAATGATAGGATGGATAATGAGAACTTTCAAAACGAGAGATGCCAAGCCCATGATGATCCTTTTCAAATCACTTGTTCTCTCTAGGCTGGAATACTGCTGTACATTAACATCTCCATTCAAAGCAGGTGAAATCGCAGATCTAGAGAGTGTACAGAGATCCTTTACTGCACGTATAAGTTCTGTCAAGCACCTTAACTACTGGGAACGCTTGGAAGCACTTGACTTGTACTCGTTGGAACGCAGGAGAGAGAGATATATCATAATCTACACTTGGAAAATCTTGGAAGGAATGGTCCCAAATCTGCACACAGAAATCACTCCCTACAAAAGTAAAAGACTGGGCAGGCGATGCAAAATGCCCCCAATAAAAAGTAGGGGCGCCATTGGTACACTAAGAGAAAACACCATAAGTGTCCGGGGCCCAAAACTGTTCAACAGCCTCCCATCAAGCATTAGGGGAATTGCCAATAAACCCCTGGCTGCCTTCAAGAGAGAGCTGGACAGATACCTAAAGTCAGTGCCGGATCAGCCGGGCTGTGGCTCGTACGTTGGACTGCGTGCGGCCAGCAGTAACAGCCTAGTTGATCAGGCCCTGATCCATCGGGAGGCCTGGTCATGGACCGGGCCGCGGGGGCGTTGATCCCCGGAATAACCTCCAGGTAAATGATGAGAAATCAGAATGGGGACCCATTACAAGTAATGTGTCACAGGGGTCAGTACTGGAAACCCTGTTCACAATCTATATAAATGACATAGATGTGTGTGTGTGTGGGGGCGGGGGGGGGGAAGAGGGGAATAAATAGTGACAAGTTTGCCAAAGACACTAAAATTAGTCGTCAAATAACTTCTGAGGGACAGTAGAAAGCTACTGGATGACCTGGATAGGTTGATGTTGTGGTCAGAAGAGTGGATGAAGTTCAATGTGGATAAATGTAAGGCTAACTGTAGGAAAAGAAAATACCTATGGCACTTATAAACTAAATATAGATCTTAGAGTTAATGTTGAAAAAAGAAAGATTTAGGAGTTTCGACTAGCAGAGATTTAAAGCCATAACAATAGTGCCTAAGTGCATGCAATAAAACTAATACATTACAATATGGCTTCGAGCATCACCCACTCTGATTTTTTTTTTTTTTTTTGCAATCGTGTTATTACTATTTCACGAGTCATGAAAGCTAACATAACTCTTGGCTTCATATCAAGATGTAGAATAATAATAGTCCTAAGGTTATAGTATAATACAACTTCATATATCTTTGGTAAAGCTTCGTTTTGATTATGCTTCACTGGTATCCATGTTCAAAAATGAACATTAATAAGTACACTGAAACAGAGAGAGAAGAATGACAAAGCTAATCTCATACATACGTTAAGAAATAAGTCTGTTGATTGAGCACCTGACTGTCCTTGCAATAATTTGAGTGATATAAAGGAAAAGCCTGAACTCAATCATTCTACCACAGCTGCTAGGAAAATGAGGGGTTGGATAATGAGAACCTTCAAAACTAGAGATACCAAGCCCATGGTAATTTTCTTCAAATCACTTGTTCTCTCTAGGCTGGAATATTGCTGTACACTAATGGTCCCTTTCAAAGCAGGCTAAATTGCAACCTGGAGAATGTACAGAGAACTTTCACAGCACACATAAGTACAACAAAGCACCTAAATTTGATTTGTACTCCCTGGAATGCAGGCGAGAAAGGAACATAACATACGCCTGGAAAATCCTAGAGGGACTAGTCCGAAATCTCACATGAAAATCACTCCCTACAAAAGCAAAAGACTTGGCAGGTGATGCAACATTTCCACAAAGAGGTGGCACCACGAGTATGCTAAGAGAAAACACCATAAGTGTCAGGGGCCCAAGACTGTTCAACTGCCTCCCAGCATACATATGGGGGATTACCAACAGACCCCTGGCTATCTTCAAGGTGCTGGACAGGCACCTAAAGTCAGTACCTGACCAGCCGGGCTATGGTTCGCACGTCGGTTTACGTATGACCAACATTAACAGTCTGGTTGATCATGCGTTGATCCACCACGAGGCCTGGTCACAGACCGGGCCACGGGGGTGTTGACCCCCCCCCCCCAAAACCCTCTCCAGGTATAAATCAATCACACCCTGTATGCAAGTAACAATGCATGATTTGGAGAATCTTGTGGCCAACCAAGCTGTTTCTGCTGACAACTGAGACCCCAATGGAAATAAATCACTAATTTTCTGGAGGGTTATCCTAGGTAATTTGCACACATTACTATGTATATATGTGTACCCGTACCTAAATAAACTTCCTAGCCAGCAGGCCAAGAGGTGATTCAGTTTTGAAAACATTAATAAGACGTACCTTTAGAGTTTGAGCAGCCTGTTCATGTGTAGCAGAGCGTAGATCAGTGCCATTAACATTAAGGATCTGGTCACCCCGCCTTAGTTCACCGGAGAGATCAGCTGGTCCACCAGCCAATATGAACGAGATGAAAATTCCTTCACCATCCTCACCACCAACGATGTTAAAACCTAAACCTGTCACTCCTTTGGCTAGGCTCACTCTGCGAGGCTCTCTGGAAACGAAAACAAATAATTAATAATAATCAAGAACAAATAATTAATACTCGAAAAATAATTAATAAAAAACAAAAACAATTAAAAAATATTTAAAAAATAATTAAAACGTTTAAAATCAATTAAAATAAAAAGTAAACATAATGAAAACAAAAATTAACCTAAGAGTATAATAATCCGTCATATGTAATAATAAAGTATTAAAAATAAATTACATGCTGACCCTTACATAGCAATATCCCACAAATGACCTTCATTCGTCTCTCTCTCCACACACACACACACACACACACACACACACACACACACACACACCAGGCCTAGTGTCTAATCGACATGTGCCTAGGACAAAATGTGCCTAGGACAAAGACACACACACACACACACAAGGATCGAATGTTTCAGAGATGGGATACAGAAACAAGGGGACACAACTGGAAGCTGAAAACCCAGACGAGTCGTAGGGATGTTAGGAAGCATTTCTGTAGTCTTAGAGTTGTCAGGAATTGGAATAATCTGAAGAGTGAAGTAGTGGAAGCAAGTTCCTTAAATAGCTTTAAGAAGAGGTATGACAAAGATCATGGAGTAGGGAAAGTGAATTAGTATCGACCAGTGAAGAGGCGGGGCCAGGAGCTATGACTCGACCCCTGCAGCCACATATAGATGAGTACACACGCACACACGGATGCTCCAGAGATGGGACACAGAAACAAGGGGTCACAATTGGAAGCTGAAGACTCAAACGAGTCACAGGGATGTTAGGAAGTATTTCTTCAGTCACAGAGTCGTCAGGAAGTGGAATAGCCTAGCAAGTGATGTAGTGGAGGCAGGAACCATACATAGCTTTAAGACGAGGTATGACAAAGCTCAGGGAGCAGAGAGAGGACCTAGTAGCGATCAATGAAGAGGCGGGGCCAGGAGCTGAGTATCGACCCCTATAACCACAATTAGGCGAGTACACGAGAGACGTGATAACGACATACAAAATACTGCGTGGAATAGACAAGGTGGACAGAGACAGGATGTTCCAGAGATGGGACACAGCAACAAAGGGTCACAATTGGAAGTTGAAGACCCAGATGAGTCAAAGGGATGTTAGGAAGTATTTCTTCAGAGTAGTCAGGAAGTGGAATAGCCTAGCAAGTGAGGTAGTGGAGGCAGGAACCATACATAGCTTTAAGATGAGGTATGATAAAGTTCGTGGAGCAGGGAGAGAGGACCTAGTAGCCCTCAGTGAAGAGGCGGGGCCAGGAGCTGAGTCTCAACCCCTGCAACCACAATTAGGTGAGTATACACACACACACACACACACACACACACACACACACACACACACACACACACACACACACACACACGGCACAGAAATGTTGCAACTAATATATATTCTGATGAATATATCAGTGAAGTTGTGCTTGTACCGAGAGCAACAGTGCACATACAGGTGGAGGGATACGTTATCTCATTATACTTTAATCCCAATACGCTCATACAGGGAATCAAAGTATTATCAGTAGATTGGTGGTAAATACGTTAATGCAACCTCAATAACCCGCATGTGTCTATAGCTGTTTTAAGCCTAATTAACCAACCAACCTCTTTATTGCAAAAAAAGTCCACCAAGCGAACAGCATAAGTATTTAAAAAAAAAAAAAAACAGCCTGCCACGATCCTATGCCACGTAACCCTTAGGCTCCCATAGATACTGCATGTACTGAGATGTTTGACGCTTCACCTAGCTGAGGTAGATAGAGGTTAGTACCTCGTGTGTTGGGTATAACTGAGGAAACAAGGCTAGGTTTTGCGCTCACAATGTAACTATTATTAAAAATTGAGTAGCTGCCCACTGAATTAGTATTATAAAAGATATATAAAAATACCATGATCTACTTGTGAAAACTGAAGCCACTACAAGTGATCATTTACGAAGGTCAATATGAAAAAAAAAATGGTATGCTATTATTAGCATTTTGGTTACTCAAACATGCTTACAATAAAAAATGGTTTAGTAAATTCAACAAAACCAAAACATATATTCCCGGAAAAGTATTCTTAAGAGAACTTTTTTTTTTTAGCAGTCATTACGAACACAACCAGAATAATAAAGAAAATTCCTAGAATTACAGGCATGATTTAACTGTCTAAAACTTTTACCTCAAACATTTTGAAAAATGAATAACAAACGTGCGCACAAATTCACTAGCTCCGGAGTTCAAAAACCTACAGAAAAATGAACGGATTAAACAGAGCCAGGGCCACACGTAACTTACTAAGGCCTGTGTGTATATGTGAACGTTACTCACCCAATGGTTTGGTTAGGTAAGATTCCTCAGGAAACAGGACAAATGTTTCCTGACACATACATACATACATACATACATACATACACACACACACAAACACACACACACACACACACACACACACACACACACACACATGATGGAAGGGACTCAGAAGTGTCCCTGTTCGCAGATGATGTGAAGTTAATGATCAGACAACAAAGAGACTACAAAGAGACCTGGACAGGCTGGACGCGTGGTCCAGCAACTGGCTCCTCGAATTTAACCCCGCCAAATGCAAAGTCATGAAGATCGGGGAAGGGCAAAGAAGACAGCAGACAGAGTATAGGCTAGGTGGCCAAAGACTCGAGGAGAAAGATCTTGGGGTGAGTATAATACCGAGCACATCTCCTAAAGCGCACACCAACCAGATAACTGCTGCAGCATATGGGCGCCTAGCAAACCTGAGAACAGCATTCCGATACCTCAGCGAGGAATTGTTCAAGACACTGTATACCGTGTACGTCAGGCCCATACCGGAGTATGCAGCCCCAGTTTGGGACCCACACCTGATCAAGCACGTCAAAAAATTAGAGAAAGTACGAAGGTTTGCAACAAGGCTAGTTCCAGAGCTAAGGGGAATGTCCTACGAAGAAAGGTTAAGATAAATCGGCCTGAGGACAATGGAGGACAGGAGGGTTAGGGGAGACGTGATAACGACATACAAAATATTGCGAGGAATATGTAAGGTGGACAGAGGATGTTCCAGAGATGGGACACAGAAACAAGGGGCCACAATTAAAAGTTTAAGACTCAGATGAGTCAAAGGGATGTTATGAAGTATTTCTTCAGCCACAGAGTTGTTAGGAATTGGAATAGTCTGGCAAGTGATGTCGTGGAGGCAGGAACCATAAATAGTTTTAAGATGTATGATAAAGCTCATGGAGCATGGAGAAAGAGGACCTAGTAGCGACCAGTGAAGAGGCGGGGCCAGGAGCTGAGTCTCGACCCCTGCAACCACAATTGAGTACACACATGCACACAATGGCGGTGATGAGTCAACCCAGCGTGGCAATAGGTCATAGCAGCGAGTGATGCGTTGTCCCAGCAATGGTTGGCTCCAGGAATTAGCTATGTATATTCCAGGAATCAGCCATGTGACGTTCCAGGATTCAGCTATGCGACGTTCCAGGATTCAGCTATGCGACGTTCCAGGATTCAGCTATGCGACGTTCCAGGATTCAGCTATGCGACGTTCCAGGATTCAGCTATGCGACGTTCCAGGATTCAGCTATACGACGTTCCAGGATTCAGCTATGCGACATTCCAGGATTCAGCTATACGACGTTCCAGGATTCAGCTATACGACGTTCCAGGAATTAGCTATGTGCCGTTCAGGAATTAGCTATGCGACGTTCCAGGAATCAGCTATGCGACGCTCCAGGAATTAGCTATGTGACGAAGCAGGGAGTGAAGGGTAGACCGTTCTACTAGAGTCTGAGCATAGATCAATACATCGTATATTATTTATGTCCCGAAACTTCAGAAGGCACTAACTGGCTCTCGGTATTTACGTAAGAGACCCACGCGATGGTGTCACACAGGGCGGGAAGATGGCGTTACACAGGACCACAAAATGGAGTCACTGAGGGCTGCAAAGTAAAAGGACACAAGTGCAGCTAATGTGATATTTTATTGTGGCAACGTTTCGCTCTCCAGGAGAGCGAAACGTTGCCACAATAAAATGTCACATTAGTTGCACTTGTGTCCTTTTACTTTACATATTGTCAGTAATTATACAAACATGTCTGTCATAGAGGGCTGTAAGAAGACATCACAATTACCCTCAAAATGGCATCACCAGGGCCTCAAGATGGCATCACAGAGGGCCGCAAGATAGCGTCACATTGGGCCACAAGACAATGAACGTTACATAGGACTTCCCGATGGCATCAGAGAGAACAGCAGGACGGACCAGGCATGTTGACAGTGCTCTCGAATTGTACTCATGGCTCCACCCTCATCCCCCGTTCTTCGCTGGACTTACTGTGCACTGTTACTCCAGTATATCATCAGTGTGTCCTCAAGTACCCTCAATACATATTATACGATATTTCTCTCTTCTCGGCTCCAGAAAGAACACAAGAAATGTGTCGAGGCGTTGCCAACAGTTTAGACATTTTACTGACCATGCGAAGAATATATAATCTCTGTAGTCGTGCTATCTCACCAGTCTTGAGAGGCGTTGTGAACACACCGCAATATTTAAGTTATGAGAGCACAAGATAAATATGGAGACAGAAGTAGTGACGAGGTAAAAAAAAAAATATGATTGGTAGAATTACCGAACAATGTTAAGAAAGAGGGTACATGTGCAACTAATGCCACAACAAAATGTCGCATTAATAGTACATGTGGTCAACCCTTCAGTCTGGAGAAGAGCTCAGCTCCATAGTCTGTAACAAAGTGCAGCTGAAGCATTAGAATGGACCTTATATACTGCCAAATGTGAAGCGTGGAAAGTCTCGAAGATGTCGCAGGATGCGGCGGAGTCCACTAGTAGAAGCAAGGTAAGAAACGAGGGTACTGCAACATACTGGCCCATTTTAAGCAGGTTCCTCTCGGATCCAACTCCACTCCTTTATAACCAGTGGTTAAGCAATAAAGTTGTGGAAGATGTCCTCTGTACCAAGATACTGGTGTGTAATTTGAAAATG